GACGACGACGACGACGACGACGACGACGACGACGACGACGACGACGACGACGACGACGACGACGACGACGAGTACGACCACGACGACGACTACGACGAATGAGAGGAGAATTCGCCGGCCCAACGGGCCAGAAACGTGCTAAGATCTCCGGTAACTACTAACAGTGTTTCAAATTCGCGCGCGCGGGGCGGCCCCTGGGGGCCCCCGGACGAGAAGTACTCCGGCCGATCCCCGGTAGCCCCCGGGCTATCCCCAGGGGGGGGTCTATTTTTCGCCACCCCTCACGAGGATCGTGGCCTCCGAGGGGGTGGCTGCAATCGACTACCCCCCCTCCTGCCCCAAGGGGCCCCCAAGAGCCCCCCAAGAGGCCCCAGGGGAGCCCAAGACGCCGCCGAGGAGCCCCAAGAGACCCCCAAGAGGCCCTCAAGAGGCCCCTAGGAGGCCCCACAGAGGCCCCCAAGAGGCTTCAAAGAGGCCCCATAGAGCGCTCGAGGGCCAGCGGAATGAGCGAAGCAATTAAATAAGAAAAAGCGGGAGGACGATGAAGAGGAGAAGACCACCTCCCCCCTTCTCGTCCTCATCGTACTCGTCGACGTAATCGTCGTCGAGGTCTGCATCCTATCCCCCTACGAAAGACGATGGCAATACCATGGAAAAGTAACCCGCAATATCTCAGACCAAGCGGATCTGGAGGATGTATCGGGCGCTGCGGCCGATCCAGAGCATTCGGCAACGGTCTGAGAGGGTTCAGGGACGCTCTGGACGTATTCCTACTCCCCCTAAACCTGCCCGGGCGTTCTGTCTACATATGTCTTAAGTCGGGCGGTCCTCCTGCTCCAGCTCATTCCTCCCCCTCCTTCTCCTCCTCCTCCTCCTCGATCTTTCTAATCCAACATCTCCGCCTCGTACTCGTCGACTTTCTACTCTTCCTCACCTCATCGCCCTCATCCTCATACTCGTCCTCCTCTTCATCCTCCGTAGCCATTTTCACTTACACCATCCACCAACAAATGAATGTCCCGTTGCCCAAGCTCGCTCGGCATGTCTTGTGGTGGCAGCGAGGGGGGGTTCTCTGGAGATGAAGGTGGCTGAGGGAGGCGCCCTGCTGGTAGCGCCAGTTTTCTGTCAGGTGCCTCGCAGAGGTCTCGGGCACTAGGCTCTGCTGATCGTCACGCACATCGTATTTCTGGCGAGGTGGACCCGATAACCGCACAGCTGCAGCTGGCCGAAGAGGCGATGTCGCTCATCGTGGGGAGCTCGGGGGTGGGGTCACGACTTCGGGCGGTGGTCCCTGCATTCCTGGCCCTCGCCAGCGGGGGGGAGACACATTGGTTCGACATTACATGATCCGCAGGAACGTCGCGCTGCACTCCGAGCTGGAGGACACCGACATAGAGCGCGCGCGCGCTGTGGCTGCCCAGCTTCGTCGTGAGCAGCACGGGGCCAGGCTGGAGACGAGGAGGCGCTCTTCGGCCAGTACTGGCCAGGCTTCCCGCGTGCGCGCCAACGCGATCGAATTCGTCCCGATTCCCGACGCCTACGAGGTCCGGAGCAGCTGCACATGCGGTCGCGTGCTGCTCTCGTCGTACGACATGCCAAAGACGTTGGTCCTCATGCAGCCGCTGGCGAAGTACCGCAACACCGTGGACCAGTCAAAATTCACTGATGCAGGGCGTGGTGCTGCTGCCGACGGTGGGCCCGTGGCGGACCCCGCCCATCTTTAGGAGGCTCGCACTCCTGCTGAGTCGCATGGACAGCTGCTTGTGATGCGGACACCGCGGCTGCGGCGACTTGGCTTTCCACCAGCGGGGTGCCCTCTCCGTGGTGGATGGCCCCGAGGGGGCGGCTGTGAAGCGCCTGGGATCTCCAGCTGCACGAGTGCCGGGTGGTGTCCCAGGGAGTCCATCGCGAACGTTTGGTTGCATCCCCTTCCTGGAGAGCGGGCTTACCATCCTAGAAAAAAGAAAAACGGCATAAACATACATTTTTGACGCTCCGCGCGGATTTTTTGGATCTGCGCTGGACCCCCCTCCCTGGCGCGCGGAGCGCGCCAGTGGCGGCGCCGGAGGCGCCGCCGGGGAGGCCCAGCGCGAATCCAAGAAATCCGCGCGGAGCACCAAAAGTCTGTGCTTATGGCGTTCTTCTTCTGGCGCCGCTGCTGTCGCTTCTGGCGCCGCTGCTGCTGAGGCTGATGCCGATGGCCAGGCTGGCGGAGCGAAAGCCGAAGAGCGTGCGGCTCCCCTTCGTCTTATTTGGAAGCCGCGGGGGCGGCCGCCCGACCCCAGCGAGGGCGGTCTCCTCGCGGGGCGTCGGCGCGCTGCCGGTAGTCAATCAGAGCGAGCTCGTGTGCACGCCGTTGGCCTCCGTCGGTCCCGGCATCCCCTTTCGTTCCCCAATCAGCGCTTGCACTGAAGGAGCCCTAGCGGATATTCCCAAATCAGCGCTTGCACTGGAGGGGTCCTATAGAGGATATTGGAAGATTTGGGCGAACATTTCCCGCCGATCTTGGTGGCGGGCTGGGTTCCCGAGTTCCCGGTGCTGGATTCCCGGGAGCGCGTTTCGTTATCATCGGCGATGACGGGCGTCATGGGGGGAGGGGCGGGGGAGGGTATGACGTAACGCCCCCCCCGCCGTGCGGCTCCGGCACCACAGCCGCGCCCGCGCACATGACGACGATGAGCGACGAGCGATGAGCGACGACGACTACGACGACGACGACGACGCGACCAGCATTGTAGGTGCCGATCTGCCCCACAGCGCCTGTGTACACCACAGTGCCTGCGTGCACCACAGCGCATGTGTACACCACAGCGCCTGCGTACAGCGCAACAGCCATGTGCAACACAGCGCCTGTGTAAACCACAGTGGTTGCGTGCACCACGGCGCCGGTGTACACCAAAGCGAATGTGCACACCGCAGCAGCCATGAGCAGAATGCTTACGTGCACCGCAGCGCCTGTGCACACCACAGCGCCTGTCTACACCACAGCATCCGCGTGCAACGCAGCGCTGGTGTACACCAGAGCGCCTGCGTGCACAGGACAGGTAGAAGCATGTCGGTGAGGATCTGCTGCGGACAGCTAAGTTAAATGCCACGCAAGGGAAGTGCTGAGAATTGAATGCGACGGTTTTCCCTCCTCCCTCCTCCACCTCCGCCGCCTCCCCCTCCTCCCTGTCCTCCTCCTCCCTCCCTCCCTTCCCCCCGTTGTGCGGGTCGGCACTACAACGCACGTGCGCGTTTCAGCGTGCACCGCAGAATGGTCTCTTCACTGGTGCCGTGCTGAGTATACGCAGGCATTGTGGTGTACACTGGTGCTGTGTTGCACACGGCTGCTGTGGTGTACGCAGGCGCTGTGGTGTACACAAGCGCTATGGTGCCAGCAGGCACTGTGGCACACACTGGCGCTGTGATGCATGCGGCTGCTGTGGTGTACATAGGCGGTGTGGTGTACACAGGAGCTGTGGTGCACGCAGGCACTATGGTGTACACAGGCGTTGTGGTGCACATCGCCACCGACATGCTGCTGCTACCCGTCGCCGATGATTCCAAAGCGCTCCGAGACGCCGCCGGCGCGAAACGTGACGCCATCGGCCCCCTTTCCCCCCCCCTAGATGATTGCCGTCACCAGCCTGGAATAAAAAACAGGCTCCAGCTGCGTCCGTGCGCACGACGACCATGAGCGACGAGCGAGGAGCGACGAGCGACAACGACGACGACGACGGCGACGACGACGACGGTGACGGTGACGAAGACAACGACGACGACGACGACGACGACGACGACGACGACGACGACGACGACGACGACGACTGCGGACCAGACTCCAATGCAAATTCCTATGCGGACCCCTATGCGGATCACGATGCGCACGGCGGCAGTGCCCAGAACGCACTGGGGGGGAAGCGTTACGTCATAGGGGGGGGGGGCGGGCTGGGGACCATGACGCCCGTCGTGCCCCAAGCAATAAAGAAACGGGCTCTGGGTTCCGGGCCGATTTCGGTGGGTTCCGGTATCCCGGGTTCCTGGGATCCCAATCGATCTCCTTATCGATGTCCTTATCGATCCCACGATACATCAAACCATCCACTGAGTGGGGTTTCTGAAATTTTCCTATGGTGTAATTGAAACATGTGGCTAGAAAATTTCCCGCCAATTTTGGTGGCCGGCTGGGTTCCCGAATTCCCGGTTCCGGGTTCCCGAATTCTTGGTCATTGGTTCCGGGCCGGTTTCGGTGGGTTGCGGCTTCCCGGGTTCCCGGGATCTCGGTCGATCTCCTTATCGATCTCTTAATCGATCCCACGATTCATCAAACCATCCACTGATTGGGGTGGTTCTGGTAAAATTCAAATGTGACGTGTGGCTTCCTGGCACATCGCACGCATGGAGCAGTGGGACTCTATGGTCGCGATTTCGGACTCTGCCGTCGCGGGCGGGAGGACCAGTTCTGGTAGGTTTCCAGGGCGGTTTAGATCGCTTCCTATTCCAACCCCCTGCTACCCCTTCAGGGAGGGGTTCGCCCTCCCCCATACCCCCTCCCCCTGGGTCTGGAGAGGGGCCGTGAGGTTTCGAAGGGTTGATATTTAAGGCTCAGCGAGAAGGCAAAAATCAATGATCCCCCGAAGTTCTTAGACAAATGTTGGCCTTCTGTATTGCCCCTTCTTTGGTCGAGCTCCTCCAGGACGGCCCAAAGATGGCACGCAAGGCTCCCAAGAGTGCCCCAATAGGTAAACAAGAAGTGTCCCGGAGACCCCAAAAGGCCCCCAAAGGATCCCCAATGGGCTCCGAAGAGACCCCCAAGAGGCCCCAACGAGGGTCCGTGGTGACCCTGTGCCTGGGCTTCTTTGTTTGTCAAGATGCTCGCCCGTACTTGGGAATCCTTGGCCGTTGTTGCCAAAATCCTCTTCCTCTCCCTCCTCCTCCTCCTCCTACTCCTCCTCCTTCTCTTCCTCCTGTTCCTCCTCCTGCCCCTCCTCCCGCCCCCCCGCCCCTGAGCGCGGGGCATCAGCGGCGACCAGGCCGACGCCGAGGTGACGGATGGAGTGCTGACTACCTTTGGGTTCGAGGAGGGAGTGTTGAGCAGGGACCGACCGTCCCGGCATTCCTATAGTCCTACCACGAAATTTTCTTAGACCCCAGAAATGTTCTAAGAACAAAAGCAATATTTATTGATCATTTATCCGATGTGTTGAACCAAGGCAGGCTCCGCCAGAAATGTTCTAAGAACAGTTCGTGAAAACCACAAGCGGTTCTTAGAACATTGTTTGGTGGGACTATAAGCGAGCCGGGACGCTTCGCCACTGCTTGAGAGTGGGAAGGAAGAGGGTTGGCGAGGGGCCCGGCGGGATACGCAACAATCAAAGGGGCAGATGGGCGAAGGAAGGCGGGAAGTTCCTCAGAACCCTCCTGCCCTGCTCCTCCCCTTCCTCCTCCTCCTCCTCCTCCTCCTCCTCCTCCTCCTTCTCCTCCTTTTCCTCCTCAAGCCACTTGGGCCCGAACCATGTTGGCGGGGCTCATTCTCCGGTGCTTTCCCGTAGCGCTTGAGGAACTCTGACCACACTCCCTGCCAGGGATAGTGTGGCATCGACCAAAGCAGGAGAGAACCTTTTTCAGTTTCAGTCATGGTCATGGCTGGCGCCGCTGCTCGCCGTGCGTGGTCTCGGTGTGGCCAGTGCGGACAATGCGAGTACAACGATGTGCTAGTCGGACAGATGTGCCTCTGCATGAAGTGCGAAGCTACCGTGCAGTTGTACAAGCCTCGTAGTCGTGCAGTACATTTCGCAGAACCTCTTTCTGCGACCCAGTTGAAAGACCAGAAAGGGGACGCCTCGCTGGTGGATCCCGGGGGGATCCTCCGCCCGCGCAGCCAGTCTCCCCAGCCTGGGGCAGGCCGCGGCAAGCGCGGGAAGGGTGGCGGCAAAGGCCGTGGCCCTGACGACATGGATGAGGTGGCGAAGCTGCTCCAGAGAGCGGCCGACGCTGCTGGCGGCGACCTGAAGGTCAAGCTGCAGGAGCAGGTGAAGAAGCTCGGTGAGGAGGTCGCGTTGACCAAAGCCTCGGAGCCCACCTCGGCAGTGGAGGCCCTCAGGAGAGCCGATGGGACAGTTCGAGATGTTGATCATAAGCACAACCAGGCCGTGGCGAACCTGGCGCGCTTGCGCAAGGCCCTTGGGGCCGCAGAGGGCTAGGAGAAGCTCAGCGCCACTGCTCTTGCGGAGGCCCTCTGCGCGCGACGTGCTGCAGCTAGGGCCCTGGCTCACGCCGAGGGCGTCGAGGTCGAAGCCGAGGCCAAAAAGGGCCAGGAGAAGTCGGGTGACAAGCTGTTCCAAGTGGTATGGGACAAGCACTTCTTCGACTCGCTTTGAGGAGCTGGAGTGCGAAACCCACGAGAAGGAGGGCCTAGAAGGCATCCGTGATCGGCTGCTCGCCACGGAGGCCGAGATGGACACCAAGGAGAGCGAGGTGCGCTCCTGGCTGAAGCAGATGGAGGACTTCAAGCAGTCTATCGAGGCGAGGCTGGCCAAGAAGCGCCGCACTGGCGCAGATGGCGAGCGCGTCGATGGGGCGACTGACGGCGCGGCGGCCCCTCCGCAGGGCGGCGCGCCTACTGAGGGCCAGCCTGCATCGGCCGAGGCCCCCCGACTGGCGCCCCCCCTGGGCGGGGCGCCCCCTGCTGCAGCGGCTGCCGCCCCTGCGAGAGACGGCCGCTCAGAGCAGGATCCGGAGGCCATTGAGGCAGAGGCCAAGCGCCTGTCGGAGGCCAAGGTCGCTGCCGAGGTCATGGCGCAGATGGGCAAGAGCGGCAAGGGCAAGGGCGTCGCTGACGCTGCTGGCTCGTCGCGGCCAGGTACTAGCGCTACAGCAGCGGCCCAGCTGTCAGATGCTGAGCGCAACGGGGAGAATATGCACTTATTCTGTTCTAATGCATCATGCATGGGGGATAAGGCCTGGTCCTTCGTCGAGCAGTCAGCTGCCAATTATCCAATTATGGCCTGTACGCTCTTATCGAGACACATATTCAGTCAGTGCCTGGCCTTCGCAAGTGGGGGAAGGAGCACGGCTACCGCCGAATATCGAATGCTGCACGACAGCAGGAAGGTTGCAAGAGTTCCACGGGTCAGGAGGAGCACGCAAACGTGGGTGGCGAGTTTCTCCTGTCACGTCGACATGTGCAGGTGCATCGACTTGGTGCCTTGAAGAATGCGGGCTCTCGTCTGCAGGCCCCAGGGCACAAGTGCACGGGCGGCTTCGCAGCGCAAGTTGTTTACTGCAGAGGGTATTCCATCGTCGTGGTCACCTTCTACGCCCACTCCAGCCTGGGCATCCGAGGCCTCAACATAGGCCGCTTTCCCCGTCTTGATAACTTCTTGTTCGCTTTGCAGCTCCCGTGGGCAGTCATCGGTGGCTGGAACATGAGTGTGCAGGAACTCCAGGAGTCAGGTCTGGTAAAAAAAAAGCCGGAAGGGGTCATTGTTCAGGCCGACATCCAGGCAACTTGCAACTTAGCAGCTGGGACCCACATTGGTTATCTCATGTGTAATGAGTCGGCGCGCCCGTTTGTTGTCGATTTGCAGCCAATTACAGCTGTGCCGTGGGGGCCCCACATAGGCTTGCATTCGGTCCTCAGGGGCAGTGGCGAGCAGCTCATCACGCGGGCCATGAAGCCCCTGGAAGGCTCTCCCAAGTCCCGAGACCCACTAAGGTCCCCACGGCTGGCTCGAAACCTAGCATCGCAAAGCACGTAGGCATATTCAGCACCAGGCTGCTGTGGATGAGCGGCCTGCTCAAATTAATTCCCTGTTCGGTGATTGTGTTCAATCTGTAGGGGGGCAGCTGTCGGAGGGGGATCTCGGGGGCGAAAGCGCCCCGCCCCCCCACGGCTGCCAACAATGCTGTAGGTGCTGAGTTAGAGGGTGACTAGTGCGGTTTTGACTACTCCGAGTGGCCTGACGAAGAGGACCCCCGGGCTGAAGAGCTCATCTTCTCCGACGCTTCTCTCGGTCAGGCCCTGCGCGCATCCAATCACTGCACTGTTGCGGGTCCTCGTGGTGGCGCGTCGCCGTCGGCTTTCGCCGTTGGCCCCCAACCTGCGCTTGCTTCTTCACTGTGTCTCACGAGGGTGGCGAGGGTACTTTGGGAGCGGGCAGGGGTCGCTCGACTGTGGACTCGGGGTCAGCTCGTTGCTCCACGGTTGGCCCTCCGCCGCCTCGCGAGACCCTGGCCCCCTCTCGGGAGCTGGGTCCCGACAACTCTGGAGGAGTTTCGAGTCAGGCCGACGATAGGCCAAGCCTTCGCACCCCCGAGGCTACGCGGGCTCGGTGTAGAGCGGAAGTAAGATTTGTTTCGGGGGCCACCCGTCTTCAGTCCCGTGCCCCTGCTTTGCGTGATTCCGTCGCATTCCGGCTTAAGCCTGAGTTGATCACTTCTGTATCGGGACTCTACTCTTCTTGGATCACGTCGGTTGAGAATACGATCACATGTCACCATGGCGTCCAGGTCCCAGCTGGGCCTCGTCGAGCTGATGGAGTGCAGTTCTCTGTTCAGCCAGTGCGAATGGCAGCCGAGACGAGAGTTGCGCCAGTTCGGAACATCATCAGCTGTTGGTGGACACAAGTGCACGCGTTGTTGCACGGCATTCACCATCATCGGACGAAACAAAATGGAGCTAGTCAGGTTCGGAAGTATGTCCAATCACGTCGCCGTCGCTTGGATGTTCGCCCCGACCAGGTTCAGAAGGTTTTGCTGGAGACCAAGGATCGTCCTTGGGATGAGTTGCTGTGCTTCTTGCATGGCATCGGATCAGCAGCAGATACCGAGTCGGCGTACTTGGTGCTCGCGGCGAAGAAGGTCAGTGCTCGAAGTCAAAGGCGGGCTATTCAGGAATCGCCGTTGGAGTTCAAGGACTTCGCGGAGGATCGCGCGTCGTTGGGCCGCCTGCACAAGTCTCTCAATCCGATGCCCCAGCCATCGGACGAGCTGGAACATGAGGGAGTGGTGCTGCTCCAACCGAGGGACATCATCGATGCTAAGGCCCAGCGCTGGCATCGGCTATGGGCCTCCACGACCATGGTGGAGGACGAGGTCATCCAGGCCTTCGCCGAGGTGCAGGCGGCCGCGGAGGACGACCCGCTGCCCTGCATCACGGTGGAGGAGATCCGACGGGCGCTTCGGAGGATGCGCCCAGGCACGGGCATGAGCGTGGACTTCGTCGCGCCGCTCGACCTGGGGCGCCTGCCCGACTGTGCGTTTGCAGAACTAGCTCTGGTCTTCGAGGCGCGTGAACAATACCTCTGCTGGCCAGCTCAGCTGCTGCTCATCTTGGGGAGGATGCTCCCCAAAACGTCCTCTGGGGATCGGATCATCGGATTGGTTCCCCCTCCTCGGTCGCCTCTGGTCCCTTTATCAGGGAGCCTTTGGTGAGGGACTGGTCGGAGGAGGCCGAGGAGGGGTGGGATGCTGCTGTACGGGGCCATTCAAGTCTTCGAGAAGCGCATCTTCGTGCTGTTCAGGGAGAAGTTTGTAGCAAGCTTATATGTTGAGGTTGGGCACGGACTCTGCGATACTGTATCCTTCTATGACCCAATAGAATGGCCGCATCTTGTCAAAAGTGCGTTGCGTATGCAGTTCCCAACTCGGGTTATATATCTGGAAGTATTGCAATGTGTTTCGGCCAGAGTTCTGAGTCAACTCGGCGCCTCGTCGGCGCCTTTCCAGCCGACGAGGAGCATCGTGCAAGGTCTTCGGTCGGGCACGGGGTTTGGGCGTATCATGACGCACTTCGTTCTGCGCGGGCTAGTCACGGCCCATCCTCAGACCACCCATAGGATATGGATAGATGATCTGTCGCAGCAGGTTCGTGGCTCCCGTGCGAACGTACGAACGCAGCTTCAGGACTGCATCCTTGACACCTGCGCCGCACTTGCACGCAATAAGCTCAAGGTATCGCCGAAATCAGTTGTGGTGTGCACGCACATGGCAGACGCTCGCTAGGTATGCAAGGCTGTGCAGCGCCGTGGTGGAGGCACCATCATGCTGCAGAGCCAAGCAACATTC